TGAGGCTTCTGACCTTTATCCTGAGAGCAGGTTTCCCCAGAGTGTGGCTGGGTGCTAAACAAGAGGATTTTAGATGGTACACAGACCAACATTTTTTATTTTGGTAATTAATGGATTTAATATGCATTAGAAAAATATATAACTCATATATCCAACATATTATTTCTCTTAAATTATTGCTTAAGATGAGGCTGAGTGACAAAAGTGATTCAATTTACAGACAAAAAATTGAATATATTATATTACAGTTGGTACATGAGCAACCATAAACGATGGATGTATGGGAAAAACTGCTGGAGGCCAACAGATCGCCACTGAAGGATTTTATGTTGGGAAGTAACATGACAAGACTTCTGAGTTAGAAAAAACACTCTGGTTGTGGAGGCTGTGTTGGGGCAGTGTTTGCCAGACTTCTGGTTAAGCTCCTTTAGTGGTTTCTGAAATCAAATTTAAAGTTATAACTGGTTTTTTCAATGAAATACAATAGGATAGAATAAATAATATCATACAACTTTACACATCATCTGCACATGATTTTACACACACACACACACACACACACGGTCTGACAATTACGTTTACGAAATTGTTGCAACGATGTTGCTAACCTTTTTTGATATCAGAGGGTTATTCGTTATGAATTTGTACCAACTGGACAAACAGTTAACCATGTTTACTATTTGGAAGTGCTGAAAAGCCTGCGTGGAAAAGTTAGACAACCTGAACTTTCCACCTATTCACGGCTCTTGCATCACGACAACGCACAAGCTCACACAACACTGTCTGTGAGGGAGTTTTTAGCCAGTAAACAAATAAATGTATTGGAACACCCTCCCTACTCACCTGATCTGGCCCCCAATGACTAATTTCTTTACCCAAAGATAAAGGAAATATTGAAAGGAAGACATTTTGATGACATTCGGGACATCAAAGGTAATACAACGACAGCTCTGATGGCCATTCCAGAAAAAGTTCCCAAATTGCTTTGAAGGATGGACTAGGTGCTGGCATCGGTGCATAGCTCCCCAAGGGGAGTACTTTGAAGGTGACCGTAGTGATATTCAGCAATGAGGTAGGTAGCACTTGTTGTAGGATGAGTTCGTGAACCTAATTGTCAGACCTTGTATACATTAATCATAATCTTAGGCATTTATCCCACATAAATTAAAACTTAAGTTCACACAAAAGCCTGTGCAGGCATACTTTGTTTTATTGTGCTTCACTTTATGCATTTCACAAATGTTGCATTTTCCACCAGCAAAAAGATTACGACTTGTTTTATTGCAGTGGTCTGGAACCTAACCTGTAATATCTCTGAGGTATACTGTACACAAATGTTTACAGCAGTTTTACTTGTAATAGCAAAAAAATTGGAACCAACCAGAATGTACCTTACCTGGGGAATGCATGAACAAACCCTGATATACCGTATTTGCCGGCATATATGACGATTTTTTGGCCCTGAAAAATATGCCTCCAAGTGGGGGGTCGTCTTATACGCCAGGTACACTTCAGATAGACTGCCCATAGTGCTTGCCCCGTGCCATAGTGGCCTCCCGATGCCCGCCCACTTCATTCCACATACCGTTCAGGCATCAGCAGTGCTGCTGGGTGTATGCTCGGCTGTTATGCGATTTTGCTGTTATGCGATTTTACCACACTCGCAAAATCGCACACAGCCGACCATACACCCAGTATGATAGCGCAAAATCGCGAATCGCGATTTATGTATATGTTTGATTACATACAGCCTTGTGACAGTTTTCCTGCATGTCATAAGCATTTGAATATAAATATAAATGTTGAAATCAAATCTGATATTGTTTTACCTTTTATTTGGTGTGTGGAAGGTGTGCGGAAGAGGGGGTAGTCTTATACGGCGAGTATATAACAAACTCTGTATTTTGAGTGGAAATGTTAGGGGGTCGTCTTATACGCCCAGTCGTCTTATATGCCGGCAAATACGGTATTCATCCAATGGAATACTACTTAGCAGTAAAAAGAAATGAACATTGTTGATACCTGCAACAACCTAGATGGAACTCAAGAGCATTATGTTTAGGTAAAAACATCAATCTCAAAAGGTTACATGTTGTATGAGTCCATTTATATAACACTTTTTTTTTGTGATGCTTCAAGAATTTGGGTGTCATTCTAGCACAGGCGCCATGCTAATCTCTGTATTGTTCCAATTTTAGTATATGTGCTGCTGAAGTGAGCACTATATAACATTCTTGAAATCACACAAATATAGAGATAGAAAACAGATTAATGGTTACTAGGGGACAGGGATGAAGGGGGATGGGGGTGGGACGGGAGGTGGATTTGTGACTACAAAAAGTTAGCATGAAGAAGTTCTTTTGTGGTGATGGAATAGTTCTGTATCTTTGTAGTGGTTACACGAATCTACACATGGAATAAAATTGCATTTACACACACGAATGCAGCATTTTAAAAAACGGCAAAAACAAAGTAAATTTGTAGTCTAGTTAATGGTAATGTGCCATTGTCAATTTCGTGGTTTTAATATCTTAATAAAACTTTATGTCACCATTGCGGGAAGCTGGGGGAAGGGTAAATGGGACTTGGCACTAGTATTTTTGCAACTTGTGAGTCTATAATTATTTAGAAATAAAATTTAGAAAAAGAAAATTGGCTGAATGCCTAAGGCTGGTGTTTGGGGAGGTGAGCAAGAGGAGCATGGAGAGGCAAACTAGGGCTGGGAAATATCTGTAGATGGTTAACCTACAAAAGGCTTAAGTTTATTCCCCCATTATCACTTCTGCTGTCACTACCTCTATAGTGCTCTTTATTCTGCTCGTTAAACAGTTATTTCTCTATTGTTTCATAGTTATGGTGTTGAGCAAACAACTAGATCTATTCCTAATGGCAAACCAGTCAAGCTCAGTCCATTGAGTGTAATCTCCAGGACTTCAATCCTTTTGAGCTATTACTTTTCCTATTACCTAATATTCAGAGTTGGCTTCTTTGCTGTCAGAGGTATTTTTTATTTTAACATCTGAATTTGATGCCATTGCAGATGCTAGAAGTTGCCAGAAGGCTGTCCTCCAGATAAGTGTCTCTTGCTCCAGCTTGTATCACTGTTTTGTTGCAATTAGCATTCAGAATATGCACTGTCATCTTATTAAAATTTATGTTTTTTAATGGAGAAAGCCCATGGAGAGTTGATGTGGTGCTGTGGCATATCCTTGCTCTTCTTAGTTACCTGTGTCTAAATTAAGCTGAACTTCTGGGCCTCAGCTATTTCTAAACAGGCATCACGATTTACTAAGGTTAATGCCTGGGGGAACATTAACCTTGCAGACACTAATCTAATTCAGTGCCATCACAAGTGCAGAATTTGGGACTTTGGAATTTTGCCAAAATGCACTATTTAAATGAACATTCATTTGGCAAGGGGTGGGAGGCGGGTGTAGACAAGGGGAGAACTCCAGAAATGGTTATACAGATATTTTAACACCTTTCCTTTCCCTCTCCCCTCAGAGGTTATGTATTATTTAAATATGTTTAAGCAGACACTAAATAAATCTTCAGACTATTATGAAGAAATCCTAATGGTGTTTTGTCCCATGGTAAGTTTCTGATGCTCATAATCATTCAACATTCACAGAGCATCTTTTTTATGTCACGTGGCTGACCTTGTAGTAGGGTGGGGACATAAAGATGAGTAGTTATAAACCACCCAGTATGCACAAACACCTCAGGGTGCCTAATAAATGTTAATTGATTGACACCACGAAGGTCACAACTTGGCTAACTAAGGTCACTTAAAGGGCCTCCAAAGGATGAGGCATAATTGTGCAATTCTAGTTTTACATAGATTACCAAGTCCTTGCCGGATAGATCGAGGTTTGGGCCCCAGGTGAAGTGAGCGGAAAATAATCGTGTAAAACCTTGCGTAACAGGGTCCAGGGCCTGAGCTCTTGATCTTGTTTTGTGCTTACACCCTGCAACTCAGTTTGCAGCCACTAACGGGGGTTTGCTGGTTTCAAGGGCACAGGGCCGCTGCTTCCGGAAAAGGTGGTAGAGGGCTAGGTTAAGAGACGAGAAACGAAAAAGCCAAGAAATTCTGGTAGATAACCTTTCACCTATGTTCCCGCCCCTTCCTTTTTCCCCCGGGCCTGAAACGCACACGACCCCTAAGTTCTCCACTTCTCAGAACGCTAGGTACTGATTAAGGGTGACGGCGGACCCCCAAAGACGTTTCCGATCTTTTTCAAATTGCTACACTTTCAGGCCCAGCCCGTGGGACCGGCAGCTCGGGGCCAGCTTCCCCGGCCACGCCGGGCCAATGACACGCAGGCGCTGGAATCGAAGCCACGCTGGGTCTTCCCAGCTGAGTCGCGGGGATAGGGAGGGCGGGCGCCGCGGACCGCTTCCCGTGTGCGGGGCTTCCCATAATGCACCGCGCCGGCAGTGGCGGCGACTGCGGCGACGCTCTAGCCGCGGCATGTCTGCGTCTCTACTGCTCTGGGAGGAGGAAGAGAAGGAGGAAGAGGAGGAGGAGGGGGAGGAAGAGGAGAAAGGCGCAGGGGTGGGAGCTGTTGCCGAAGCTGCCACCGCAAAAGTTCTCCCCCCTCCCCCCTTCCCCTCCTCTCAAGGCCCCTAGAAAGGCTGGAGCTGCCACCGTCTGCAGTCGGTGACCGCGCGACTCGGCGCCCGCCCGCGGTAAAGCGCTCGGCCTGGCAGGCCCAGGCCCGGGGGAGGGCGGGGGAGGGGGAGGGGGCGGCGCGCGGGGGGAGCGCGCGGCGGTAACGGCCTGACCCCGGGGGGAGCGAGCCGTGGCGAGGCTGGGGGTGGCCAGGCGACCGGCCGAGGCCGAGGGGAATGCAGGAGCAGGCTGGGGGACGGGAGGAAGCAGGGCGCGGAGGGTGGGTTGGGGGTTTGAGAAAGGAGAATGACGGGGGTGGCGGAGGCGAGCAGGCGGCCTCCGAGGCCTGGGGTGGGGGGTGTCAGAGGCAGGGAAGGAGGTGGGATGTTTGCACGCGGAGGCCAGAAGGTGCTCGGTGTGGGTGTGAAAAGGCTCGGGAGACAGCAGGCTTCTGTCCATCGTGCCTGGTGCAGTGCTTTATGCACCGCAGGCCTCAGTCACAGTGTTCTTTGGCAGAAGGGAAGGGCAGGGGTAGGAGAAAAGGGAATCCTTGCGGGAAAGCTGGTGGGAGTGTGCACCAGGAGAGGCCGGGGGAAGGATACCGGCTAGGTGGAAGAATGCAGCGGGCGGCAGCGGAGGAGTCTTGAGGATTCCGGGGGGGTGTTCATTGTGCAGATATATTAGGTATATTGTCGTGGAAAGACCTGAAGCCTTTCTAAAGAAAGGGAAAGAAGGGGTGTCCGTGAATAGGAAGGATGGTGTTTGAAGCAAGAGCGAGTGCTAAATGCTAGAGAATATGAAGAGAATGCATGATAGAATAGACAGATGTAGTCGAATTTTATAAACGTTGGCCCAAGGACTAAAGAGCTATTCCAGATGGGCCAGGATGGCCTAGTTCCGAACCTGTTTGGGGCTCTTCTGTACATGACATCTGGTAAGTGTGGGTCCCGGTAGTGGTATGGGTCACTGAAAATTAGACCTTGGTCTGCAGTTTGCTCTGAGACATTTTAGAACCGCACCAGTGAGTGTGTGAATCTCTGAAACAGATCTCAAGAAAACACCTGGCCCACAGGTATTCTCTAGGCCACGGAGTTTAGATTTTAGCAAATTTGAAGTATTATCATTTATTAGAGGCTGGATGAACACTATCCTGGCAAATCTGGTGTGGAAATTACTTAATTTGGTGGTTTTCTTCTTCACTGCCCAGCTTAAATGGTCCAGAACAGGTGCCATATTCAGCTTGGGTTGCACTACACAGGGTGATAATTAATGATTGGGAGAGGGGGGAGTATTCCATGCATCGTGGCCCTTCTTTGGAAGATCCATTTATAGCTCAAATTAGTCTTAATTGGCTGCACTGGTTCCATAACTGGGGTTGGTCGGAGACCTGCCATTCACAGTTCCTGAATGTATGCTGTCATTGAGGCGAGGTGATATTGAAGAAAATGCATCAGCCTACAAAGTGTGGCCAGCAGAATGAAGGATCTAGAATATCTGTTTTGGTCTTAGGTTGCAAAGCTGGGACTGGTTGCCATGAGGTCTAGGGGAACTTGAAGAGACCGGATTTTTTTATTTTTATTAGCATTTTTATATCAGGAAATGAACCAAGGCCTGTTGGATTTGCTGAGTTCACACCAGACCAGATTTCCAAGAGGAACTCTGGGCTAGGACCATACTCTTAAAATTTTATTCACTTTTTGAATCAGTTTTATTCACCTGAAAATTGGTTATTAAATATTTGCATACACATTACATTGTAACATTAATTCAAGTGAGGAGAGGGTGGTATGAAAAATCTTTTTATGGAAGTGCAGGGTGGAGGGATTAATGGATGAGGTAGAAAGAAATTTGGGAGAGGGATGGAAAAATTCAATCATGCATTTAGCAAATATCTCTAAAGGAGGATGATAATTTAAAAGTGTTAGAGTGGAGACGGCTTTTATTAAAATTTTTCTCAGAAATAATCCAGGATTATTTTTTAAAAACTGGAAAACTTTTTATGTCAGTACAATATATGTTACTGTAGCATGCTTCAGTATATCACATAGTAGGATGTTCCCATTTTTATTGTCATCATGGTATGAGAGGGTCTGTTTTTCTTCCCCTAACTTGCACTATATATTATCAGTTCTTTTTAATTTTTGTAAGTTTATGAACTTAAATATAGTATGTCATTATTATTTTTCTTCCCTTTTAAATTTATGAATAATACATGTACATGATTTAAAAATAAAATTATATGAGGGAGCTTATAATGAAAAGCAATAGCCCCTGTTTTACCTCTTCAGTTGTAGTCCCACTTGCCAGTCTGCTACTTGTAAGCATTAATTTTTGTAGTTCTTATTATGCTTTTCTCCAGGTGTGCAAATATCATGAATGCACTATTATTTCTTGTTTGATCAAAATGACACTATGAAGAGGTCAAGACTTTTTACAATGAATGGAAAGGATTTGTATCACTGGCATTAAATCCTTTCTGCTTCTCCTTTCCTACCTTTGGTAGTTACTATTTTAGTTATTCAGTGTTTTTGTATCTTTATGTAATACACTTAAAGAGAAAGCCGTTAAGATTAGACTTGGAAATATTTGGTGAGATGATAAAGGGAAGTTTGTTGTTTGGACCTATATACAAAAAACTAGATTGTAGGAAAGATGGTCTTTGCAGCATAAGGGTTGCTAGTTAGCGATGAGGAGGAGTTGCTTGGCAATGTTAGTTCATCTTGGAATTACTTACAGGTCAACTGTGCAGTATTCTTTGACAGTCTGCTGGAGAGTTTTAGTGTGGGGAATCTGGGATGGATTAAAATGATCCGTAATTGTCCTTTCCAGGCTTCTGTGTTTGAGGAAGGAATGGATTAACATGGATATGCATTTCTTTTTTGTGGGGAGTGGTGGGCAAATGTGATAAGAGGGGGAGGGTGGTGAGGAAGAGGGTATGATGGAGATGGTGATAATTTTGTGGGAGGCTGTAGAAAAGGTAAAGAATTCTGAGGACACTTGGATATAATTGGTGTGAAGAGAGATTTAAATTACAGTGGTGAGACCGAGATTTGTGGCAGTTATAAGGAAATTAGCGTATTTAAGCCACGGATGGTGGAAAAGGTATGCTGCTCAACTATTATGATTCATAAAATACTGGTTTTTGGAATTTGTGTATGGGGTGCAGCATCACTAAGTCAATGTGATTGTGATTGAGAGAATAGAAAGATCTCCTCCCATTTGAGGAAGTCTTGTTTAAGTAACCCCACCCCTTGAGAATCTTCCTTACTTTGAATAAAAACAGCATTCGTGTAGATTACATACTGCTAAATGTTGTCTTTGCTTATAGAAATTATCTTTGTTTTGCAAATGGTGGCTAGATTGTAACCTGCTCTAGAGATCAGTCCTTTAATGTCTAGGGATACTCATAACAGGTTGATTCTTAAGTGCTTAGTAAATACCTGTTGAATGACTGATAGAAAGTAGTGTTCACTCTTTAGTGATAATAGTGGGAATGTGTGAAATTGCTGAGCACTATGGGGATATTGCAGACAAAATGATGTGAGAGAGAGAGAGAGAGAGAGAGAGAGAGAGAG